ATTGCGGTTGACACCGGGAAGGCTGGCGGTCGAGTTAATGATCAATTCGATTCATAACTGCTGGGCGAAGACGGCTTGTTGCTTCGCTACATCCCAACGATCTATGAAGTGGAGGGGGGTAATGAGTCCCCCTTCAGGGTGGTGATTCCCAGGAAGCTACGGAAGAGGTTTATCGGGTACTTTCACGACCCCGGCTTTGGCAGGTCATGGCAGTGGCAGCAAGACTTTTCACAAGTTATGCCGCGCCGCGACCTGGCCGGGGATGAGGCAAGACGCACTCCGATACGCCCGCAGCTGTCCAGCCAGCCAGAAAGCGAAGCCCAGAGGGGGGAAGCCTCCGGGCTTGATGCAGTCGGTGGAGGGTCACTACCCGTGGGAGATCGTCGCTTGCTACATCATCGGCCCACTGCCGAGAAGTCCGCGGGGAAACCAATACCTCCTGGTTATTACCGATCATTTCTCAAAGTGGGCAGAGCTGTACCCACTGAAGAAGCTGGTTTCAGAGCGGATCTGGGAAAAGTTACTACATACTTTCCTACGCTTCGGCACACCCAGGTGTCTCATTAGTGATAACGCTAGTTATTTTACTAGTAAAGTTTTCGTGGACTCCTGCTTGGCGCTGAACATAAAGCACAAGAGGACAACACCGTACCATCTCCAAACCAATATCTGGGACGGCGCCAGGCTTTTCATAGTCGGGGGGCAATGGGGAGGCGCACGGCATTTTTGGGGAGGCATGGGCTTTCGGTCCGACTAAAAGAACAAATATTCAGGAACGATGACATGGTAGAGCCCTAGTCACTCCCGCCAGTATCGACTGCGGGCACCAAGTCGCTTGGGGAGTTTTTAATAGATATCAGATCAGTTTATTTCGTTATTTTACAACCTACCTACAACTCTATTAATGTAGCATTTCACATGCAAAATATTCAGGCATGTTTACATTCCGCAATACTAAGTAAGCACGTTCACGCTTGTCGTGACTCATCTGCTCTTTGGGCAGTCCCCTACACCGCGGAAAATCGGAGCACGTCAGCCATCATGTAGATGTAGTGACGATTTTCCTTTTGCTGAATACGCCTGGCTGAGGTACACGGCGACCTATTTATCGCGTCACTTCATCTGCTTGAAGGAAACCAATGATGTTTGGGACATCTTGCTGCCGCGCTGCTGGAGGGGCTTCGTAGTCCGCCTTCCTTTTGAAGACATTTTTTTCCAGTTTCAATAGCCCTCTGTTAAAATACAGCATTTCCACTGTTCTGTCCTATATTAGTGGAAAACATCTTACATCAAAAATAAAAAAAAAAAAGCAGAATTCGAAGACACACAGTACTCCAACCACGGAAAGCTGGTGCACCGGTCGGACTTGAAGGTTCAGCACAGGCTGTACTGGCAAAAGCTGTTTGGGCTACATCCGGGGGTATTTCCGTCTTCAGTTGAGAACATCAGGCTTTGTGTTCTTCGTTCTGAAAGTTGCCAATCGGTCCGCCGTCATCGATATCATGCATTAAGACTCACATTGATGTTCCTCAGCGCTTGCACACGGCATCCATTTTCCATCAAGCAAACGCTTGGCAGGTTCAAAATCTGAGGCGTTTTCTGAAACGTTCCACTTTGTTGCGCTTTGTTGGAAGAAATCACTAATCCGATGATTGGATGTCATAGCACACCCGGGGGAATTTTTCGAGTATTCCTCAATGTTCTCGTCACCAAGTGGTTGGCCCCGCGGTGGGGCTCGGACGGCGTCAGGCACCGGAACGGGGCTGCAGAAGGAATCTCTGGAGCATCGGTGTCCCGAAAGAAAAGCACTGTTGTGCTCGATTAGTATCAGAGAGCACGAGAAATTTCACAAAACTGCACCTTTCAAGTACGGCGTTCTTCAGTTCCCCAGGGCGGGGTGAGGATTTAGGAAGAGCACATAAACGAACGAACTGACATGGCTCCCAGCTGGCAACATTTATTTACCCTCCCCCTCCCCCTCCCCCTCCCCCCCCCCCCCCCCCAAATGCACAAACACTCAACCTCCAACCTCCTAAGGTAGTCTCCCGAGCACTCGCACAGACACACAGTCGCCGTCACGGTCACCAAAGCTGCTTCAAGGACCCGTCGTACACAGCCGTAGAGACTTGAAATAGCTAGGATGACCTCGACGCATCGAAGCCACCCCCTGGAGAATCGCTAGTAGGCCCGCGCGTCTCAGGACTTTGGGAGATTTCCTCGTTCAGAACATGAACAGTGCCCTTCAGTTCCTTTGACTGGCATATACGAAGCGACGGCGCAGTGCAGATGGGATTCTAAGTCTCTCCGAGTAATCTGGTTGGCGAGAGATGGCATTGAGTGGCAGATGACGCTCCTTAGCCTCGGCAAACCATACCTATATTCATGTATCGTTCTTCACAGGGTACCTAAAGAAAATAAAGCGGACGGCATGATAAAGTCGAAAACGTCCGGGATGGGGCCTCTTTAGGCTGGCTATCCTTTAATTAGCCATTGCCTTTTTCATGGGACGAGTGGTTGTTGTTGTCAGAACGTTCTTTATTGCCCTGTTATATATAATATGTGTATATATATACCATACACGCATATAATTCACCATTATCGTCTGCATCGGTGCGGGCCTAAGGATCTGCCGCTGCCGTCATGGCGGTCTGGGTGGTGTTGGTCCCAGCGCTTTCGGCTGCTGCAAAGTCGTCCACCGGGGCCGTCGTTGTCGTAGACGAACTCCGCCAGCTTTGTCCATAGCAGGGAGACGATCGTCTTGTCACGACTGGTGGGCAGAATCCAATCGACATACGTCGCCGGACGAATCTCGTCTGGGAGTTCCTCCAGTTTCGTTTTCCGAAGGCAAGCGTGGCGCTCGCACTCCCAGACAACATGGGCAGCCGTCGCGGTCCTCGGGCACCGGCGACACGCCCCCTCGTCGGGATCTACGCCGAAGAACTTATGGCGCAGCGCCGGGGATAGGACAGTGTTGGTCGCGAGGCGGCGGACGAGGGTCTGAGTGCTCCTCGGTAGGTCATTCGGCATCGAAGGAAAGGGGCGCAACTGCTCGTCCGGGCGTTCCTCCCACTCTTCACGAAGGTGTCATAGGGTTCTTCGCCTTCGCTGTTCAGCACTTTCCTTGACGACAGACGGGTCGGCCGGGCCGGCTGCCTCGCCGGCTGAGTTGTGGAATGCGTTCGGCGCGGATGCCATCTGGCGAACTGCTGCTCGCGCCTCGCTGGGGGCCCACTCATTGCCGTCAATGCCCGCACGCGCAGGCACCCAGGAAATAGTAGTTTAGATGTTGAGCTTGTTTCGAAGTTCTAGGAACGCGGCGAGCAACTCGCCAACTATTCCCGTGTACGTTGAGGGGCTCCCGCTCGCTCGTCTGCAAGTTTCGTACGCGCGGGTCGAGTCGGTGAACAGTAGGAGCCTATGTGGGATGTCTGTTGGTGCAAAAGTTTGAAGAACCCACTGGGATGCTCGGAGAAGTGACATGAGTTCCGCCTGCGTAGTGGCGCAGTGGTCGAAAGCGCAGCCGCGTTCGGAATGCCATGGGTGGTGTCGACACCCGTGACCGCCTGGACGTGCTTGCGGGTTCTGTCCTCTCCTTCGCCGTCGTCGCCGGCAGTCGACAGCAAGGTCTCCGCCATGTCAGTGTAGATGATGGTGTGCGTAGGCGGTGATTCGTGCGCGACGCTACGTGTGTGCGCTTTGGCAAAGCGTTTGCGTCGCTCCGAGTTGCTCGTTCCAGGTCCCATGTTTCGTGGAAGGGATCTTCCGTCGGTAAGCGTGACCGGGGCGGCCCACGGAGGGGGCGAGTGCGCGTCTGCCGGGCGGACGTCCAGACCGGGATGCACGCGGAGCTCTTCCAATATGGAAAGCCCAGCTGTCGAGCTGCTAAGGCGGTCTCTCTGGGCGAGGAGCGCCTGTTCGGCGAGTTCCGACAGGAGGTTCATGCCGTCGCGTGCGTACAGCTCCCGGAGGGGCGTATGCTTAGGCAGTCCGGTAACAATGCGAATGGCTTCGCGATTGAGTTTCTCGAGCTGCTCCGCCTGCCTGAGCGTGAGGACGTGATAGTTATAGCCGTAGAGGATAGGGCGTTCAAGCAGCGCCGTGACGAGCTGGCGCGTTTCTCTCTCCCGCGTGCCCCACTGCAGGTGTGTGATTCTACGGATGAGGCGGAGAAGTGATCTGCACTGCAAGGCGAGTTTCGTCACCCACGTGGTGCCTTTGCCATCTTGATCTATGTATGCTCCCAGGATCCGAACGGAGAGTTTTCGCCGTATCCTTTGCCCGGCCATGCAGAGGGCGAACTGGTTGCGGACCGCTTTGATCTTTCTGTGGGGCCCGTTCAAAACCACGACGTATTCGGTGTTCTCGGCCGAGGCGGTCATGCCTACATTCCGAAGAAAGCCCTGTATGACGTCGAGCCCTATTGGAAAACTCCAATATAAACAGCGTATTATGGATATTGGTGAACAATATATTTTGTTTATTGTATTACAATACAATATGTATAGTGTATTGGAAAACTCCAATATAAACAGCGTATTATGGATATTGGTGAACAATATATTTTGTTTATTGTATTACAATACAATATGTATAGTGTATTGGAAAACAACATATTCATTGTATCGTATTACAATAAGGTTTTGTTATGGGGTTCCAATATACAATATATTTATTGTATTACATAAGAGGGGCTCCAATATCCATAATATGCCAAAAACATTGGAATCCCATACCGTATAAACCCTTATTGGATCACAGTGTCGTATGGGGATCCAATAAGGGTTTATGATTCCAGTGTATTTAGCGTATTATGGATATTGGAATCCAATGAAATCACTTCTACATTGTATCAACTACCAATAAAGCTTCATACGAGTTGGAATGTCACATTCAGCACGAAATGTCTTGCGCCGCAAAGTCTCCTTGTGTGTATTTCTGACTGATGAAAAAAAAAATGTTGCTGTTGTCAAATTATGAATAAAGAAGCAAAACACTGAGCTTATCCAAACCAAATATATTTAACATATCCCCTAACTGGAGGATCCGGCATTTACTGCGAAAAAAAAAGAAAAAGTTAATTGCTTAAAACTCATTCGAAAACTTGATGTTCGAGAACAGAATCTGGAATCCTCACATTTGAACGAGAACGAACTGCCGCCTGCCGGCTTCTGGCCACGGAAACTGCAAGGGAGATTTGCAATTAGTTGCGTCCAAATAATTTTCTGGAGTAGCCACCTACAGCACATTAAGCCGGTTAAATTTAAAATTACATGTGCGTGACATAATATGCCTCGAGACGTAACTGGGCACACGTCGACAAATGTGTTGTCCACGCGTATCGCAGCGGAACAAGCTTCAATGAAAGCGTCCCCAGTCGTTCTGAGCTCCATCAATTAAATATGCCATACAGCTCGCCTGGCTTCAGTATAACATCTTCAGAGCAAACTAGAAAATCTGGAATCCTCACCTCTGAACGAGGAAAAACTGCCGCCTGCTGGCTTCTGGCTGCGGATACTGCAAGGGAGATTTGCAATTAGTTGGGTCCAAATAATTTTTTGGAGTAGCCACCTACAGCACATTAAGCCGGATAAATTTAAAATTACATGTACATTACATAATATGCCTCTTGAGGTGTAACTGGGCACACGTCAACAAATGTGTCGTCCACACGTATTGCAGCGGAACAAGCTTCAATGAAAGCGTCCCCAGTCGTTCTGGGCTCCATTAATTAAATATGCCATACAGCTGGCCTGGCTTCAGTATCACATCTTCAGAGCAAACTAGAAAATCTGGAATCCTCACCTTTGAACGAGGAAAAACTGCCGCCTGCTGGCTTCTGGCTGCGGAAACTGCAAGGGAGATTTGCAATTAGTTGGGTCCAAATAATTTTTTGGAGTAGCCACCTACAGCACATTAAGCCGGATAAATTTAAAATTACATGTAGATTACATAATATGCCTCTTGAGGTGTAACTGGGCACACGTCAACAAATGTGTCGTCCACGCGTATTGCAGCAGAACAAGCTTCAATGAAAGCGTCCCCAGCCGTTCTGGGCTCCATTAATTAAATATGCCATACAGCTGGCCTGGCTTCAGTATCACATCTTCAGAGCAAACTAGAAAATCTGGAATCCTCACCTTTGAACGAGGAAAAACTGCCGCCTGCTGGCTTCTGGCTGCGGAAACTGCAAGGGAGATTTGCAATTAGTTCGGTCCAAATAATTTTTTGGAGTAGCCACCTACAGCACATTAAGCCGGATAAATTTAAAATTACATGTACATTACATAATATGCCTCTTGAGGTGTAACTGGGCACACGTCAACAAATGTGTCGTCCACGCGTATTGCAGCAGAACAAGCTTCAATGAAAGCGTCCCCAACCGTTCTGGGCTCCATTAATTAAATATGCCATACAGCTGGCCTGGCTTCAGTATCACATCTTCAGAGCAAACTAGAAAATCTGGAATCCTCACCTCTGAACGAGGAAAAACTGCCGCCTGCTGGCTTCTGGCTGCGGAAACTGCAAGGGAGATTTGCAACTAGTTGGGTCCAAATAATTTTTTTGGAGTAGCCACCTACAGCTCATTAAGCCGGATAAATTTAAAATTACATGTCCATTACATAATATGCCTCTTGAGGTGTAACTGGGCACACGTCAACAAATGTGTCGTCCACGCGTATTGCAGCAGAACAAGCTTCAATGAAAGCGTTCCCAGTCGTTCTGGGCTCCATTAATTAAATATGCCATACAGCTGGCCTGGCTTCAGTATCACATCTTCAGAGCAAACTAGAAAATCTGGAATCCTCACCTTTGAACGAGGAAAAACTGCCGCCTGCTGGCTTCTGGCTGCGGAAACTGCAAGGGAGATTTGCAATTAGTTGGGTCCAAATAATTTTTTGGAGTAGCCACCTACAGCACAGTAAGCCGGATAAATTTAAAATTACATGTACATTCCATAATATGCCTCTTGAGGTGTAACTGGGCACTCGTCAACAAATGTGTCGTCCACGCGTATTGCAGCAGAACAAGCTTCAATGAAATCGTCACCAGTCGTTCTGGGCTCCATTAATTAAATATGCCATACAGCTGGCCTGGCTTCAGTATCACATCTTCAGAGCAAACTAGAAAATCTGGAATCCTCACCTTTTAACAAGGAAAAACTGCCGCCTGCTAGCTTCTGGCTGCGGAAACTGCAAGAGAGATTTGCAATTCGTTGCGTCCAAATAATTTTTTGGAGTAGCCACCTACAGCACATTAAGCCGGATAAATTCAAAATTACATAAACATTACATAATATGCCTCTTGAGGTGTAACTGGGCACACGTCAACAAATGTGTCGTCCACGCGTATTGCAGCAGAACAAGCTTCAATGAAAGCGTCACCAGTCGTTCTGGGCTCCATTAATTAAATATGCCATACAGCTGGCCTGGCTTCAGTATCACATCTTCAGAGCAAACTAGAAAATCTGGAATCCTCATCTTTGAACGAGGAAAAACTGCCGCCTGCTGGCTTCTGGCTGCGGAAACTGCAAGAGAGATTTGCAATTAGTTGGGTCCAAATAATTTTTTGGAGTAGCCACCTACAGCACATTATGCTGGATAAATTCAAAATTACATAAACATTACATAATATGCCTCTTGAGGTGTAACTGGGCACACGTCGACAAATGTGTTGTCCACGCGTATTACAGCGGAACAAACTTCAATGAAAGCGTCCCCAGTCGTTCTAAGCTCCATCAATTAAATATGCCATACAGCTCGTCTGGCTTCAGTATAACATCTTCAGAGCAAACTAGAAAATCTGGAATCCTCACCTTTGAACGAGGAAAAACTGCCGCCTGCTGGCTTCTGGCTGCGGAAACTGCAAGGGAGATTTGCAATTAGTTGGGTCCAAATAATTTTTTGGAGTAGCCACCTACAGCACATTAAGCCGGATAAATTTAAAATTACATGTACATTACATAATATGCCTCTTGAGGTGTAACTGGGCACACGTCAACAAATGTGTCGTCCACGCGTATTGCAGCAGAACAAGCTTCAATGAAAGCGTCCCCAGCCGTTCTGGGCTCCATTAATTAAATATGCCATACAGCTGGCCTGGCTTCAGTATCACATCTTCAGAGCAAACTAGAAAATCTGGAATCCTCACCTTTGAACGAGGAAAAACTGCCGCCTGCTGGCTTCTGGCTGCAGAAACTGCAAGGGAGATTTGCAATTAGTTGGGTCCAAATAATTTTTTGGAGTAGCCACCTACAGCACATTAAGCCGGATAAATTTAAAATTACATGTACATTACATAATATGCCTCTTGAGGTGTAACTGGGCACACGTCAACAAATGTGTCGTCCACACGTATTGCAGCAGAACAAGCTTCAATGAAAGCGTCCCCAGTCGTTCTGGGCTCCATTAATTAAATATGCCATACAGCTGGCCTGGCTTCAGTATCACATCTTCAGAGCAAACTAGAAAATCTGGAATCCTCACCTCTGAACGAGGAAAAACTGCCGCCTGCTGGCTTCTGGCTGCGGAAACTGCAAGGGAGATTTGCAATTAGTTGGGTCCAAATAATATTTTGGAGTAGCCACCTACAGCACATTAAGCCGGATAAATTTAAAATTACATGTACATTACATAATATGCCTCTTGAGGTGTAACTGGGCACACGTCAACAAATGTGTCGTCCACGCGTATTGCAGCAGAACAAGCTTCAATGAAAGCGTCCCCAGTCGTTCTGGGCTCCATTAATTAAATATGCCATACAGCTGGCCTGGCTTCAGTATCACATCTTCAGAGCAAACTAGAAAATCTGGAATCCTCACCTTTGAACGAGGAAAAACTGCCGCCTGCTGGCTTCTGACTGCGGAAACTGCAAGGGAGATTTGCAATTAGTTGGGTCCAAATAATTTTTTGGAGTAGCCACCTACAACACACTCAAAATTACATGCACGGGACATAGATGCCTCATGCGACGGAACCCCCTTTATCCTTGCTTTCTGTTAACTCTGTTCACCTTTACTGCTTGCCTCCGATTTCTGTGCTACTTCTTTAATCGCGATTCTCTGGTTCCCAAAGGCCATGCCATGGCTTGCACCAGGCACGGATCTGTCAGCTCCGCGACCGGCGCTATAGTGGCAAGGACGCCACGGCACCTGGGCGCTTGATGTGTTCTTTTAATATTTTGAGCATGCCTCAAAACAGGTGGATGGGTGTCTGGTATGCCCTCTGCTTATTTGGGGATAGTTCCGAAAACGGGGTAGGCACTTCTGCAATGTGGGCGCATGCTCAGTATTTTACATTAGTTGAAATTGAACTTTGCAGAAATCTTGAACCATAACAAGCAGAATGTGCATGCCAAAAGGTATAGCAAATGAAACACCCACCATCTATCTATTTTCTGTTCTTGTCAGCAAGAAGCTGGCGTATGTATTTCCTCCCGCGCTTGAGCCGGTCCTTCCTGGAGTCCCGGTTCGGTCGTGTCCTGACGAATCGTCGGTGGAGACCTAAGGTGTGGTCAACATCAGATTAGATCTTTTGAGACATAATCCATATACTTGCCGAGAGGAAGTACACCCAGACGAATCTCGGGCATGCCATTTATACTGCGTTTTAAAATGAGAGGCCCAATGTAATATGAGACATCAATACTGAGGCACCCCTGTTGCAAACCTAAAATTTTGAAAGGAGGCTTTTAAAAGTAAATTTTACTCCGAAATCTGAGGGAGCAGCTGGATTTCTATCAGCATTAAAAAATTTAACAATGGGGTCCAACGTTGGTAACAGAGTCTGCCTTTTTGGTTGATGGCACTACGTCATTGAAAGCAGATAATAGACCTTGGGGCGATGTATTTGCAGCTGGCTGGAGTAATCACATTTGCTTCTATTTATTTTTATTACATCATTAAGACTAACATGGATTAAAAAGAAGTTTGGAGAAGATTACACTGTTATCTTCAATCCAATCAACTTCCGCTGCCATTGCAGTTTCTAAGTATGACACGTTGCATCACCAAAAACAAACTATTTCTGATGTAACTAGGTTGTCTCCATTGCTGAAATGCTTCAGAATGTTTCTGAAAGCGTTTGGAACATAGACTGAAATCAAAGCATTGTGAAATTGTAATTTCTATACGTTTAAGTTAATACTTCATGGCAACGGGCACATAACAAGAGAGCCTTTGAAAGGAGCAGTATTCCCACTATATCGGATCCAACCCCTATGGGCGACATTTATTTATTTATTTATTTATTCGGTAATACTGCCAGCATTCTGTAGAATGCCCAGGCAGGAGGTGTACAAAACAATATGTTATGAGTTTGAGTCTGCTATAGCCAATTTCGCTCCAATCACTTTGCACTAAAGGTGTGCGAATATTCACAATTTTTGAATAACCAATCGAATACAGCCCTGTTCGATTCAATGTCCAAATCGAATAGGGCGATATAATAGCTATTAGATTTGGTATCTAAATCGAATAGTTGTTTCTCAAAATTTCGAATATTTTTCAAAGTTTTCGAATAGCCGAAGACAGAATTGGCACGATTCAGCACCAACAATTTTTTTTCATAGACGCCTATATACAACATGCCTGCCACATACGTGCTGTAAGATGTCCCTTCTCTCAAGTGGTCTGCATACTCGGCAAAACGTTGGTGTTTCTACTGTCCGAGACAGATGATTACCGCTAGCAGTACCAGTCTATTCGAGCGGCGTCGTTTATTCGTGTAATGCAGCCCCTGGCACTCTTTCTCGCGACACTTATAGCACACACTCTGAATTGCATGCCCCAACTGCTTCTGTCCCCGTGTAGTTTGTGGAGAGGCATGTGAATACAAGTAACATCTTTTTATTTTAAGACTGTCCGCAATCAGTGATGCCCTATAAGCTCACTTCGGCGTTTTGACGTTGTTGGGGTTTCTGGTTTTTCTCACACCGTTCTCGAGTGGTTTCCTTCGCATGATTTTTATGCTTCCGCAGTTTGCGTGTTGCCAAGACCCTGCTGTAGCCAGCTAACTCACACAAGCATGGTTCTTCTTTTTGCTATTTATTCCCACCTCATTCTAGTAATTTTCAACCTTTTAAACAGTGTACCAAGTATTCGAAAACTATTTGATTTATATTCAACTAGGTCCCATAACTATTCAATTCATATCCGATTCAGTTAGAAAAATCATTATCCGCACACCCCTACTCTGCACCCAAAATGCGCCAAGATATCCTGCACATTAGAGAATTAACTGAGCGGCCTAAGTCACAGCTTGGCACTATTGTGCATAAACTATTGCCACGGAGGCATCATCATCACTACACTTTGTGAGACCACCTGAATCGTATCAATGTGATTGTAGTTGAAATTGCAGCCAAAAGCAATACATGCCTTGCACGTATGTCATCAAAATTGCATGGTGGAATACATGGCACCATGGCTCCAAACCAAAACCATCACAGCAACTAAAGCCGGTCGAGTACAGCGAGCGTCCTTCCGCGATTCTGCCTTGAATCTCTGCCGGTGGAAATAAGACGAGAAGAGGACCTCTGCAATTGTGACACCTTTAGCGACACAAGGTTTTTCAAGCAGCCAAAGGTGGTTACGCGCCAGTGTCAGCAGATGCTTGAGCAGTTGAAAAAGCGAAGAAGCGTGCGGATTACGAGGATCAGCAGAGCCGACGTCGATGCAAACGGCAACTCACAGGTGTTGTCAAGCTTCCACTCCATCAAATAAAGTATGTTTTCTATTGTGTCTTTCTGTTGGGAGGCGCCGGTAACCTGGATGATGGCATAACATTGTGATGTAAACAAGAGGAGCATTCGCTGCGCCAACTTCTGCGGCCAGGAAGGCGTCAACAACACCCATTTTCTCATTTTTACAGGTGCTCCTTCATGCCGGTACACCTTTCACCCCATCACTGGTGAAGTAAATGTGAGATGCCAACGATTTGAACGCCTTCATCACTTTAACAGTCACGTAGCTGACGGAAAAACACAGGTAGTTCACAATGTCTCCGTGCAATATGTTGTGAAAAACAGCGGCATCGGTCGTTGCGTCCAGATGGACGCAAAGCTTGTATACAGATCTTCACAGCAACAAATTGTTGTTGAAAGTGTCTCTATTGAAAATTGAAGGCATAAAGTTCCAACTCCTTCATATATCTGGCTTTTGTGGGACCAACGAGCACGTCGGCCTAGCCACCGCAAAGCGGCGACTCCACTATTGCGACGACTGCATCTTTTGCCTGAAGGCGGCGCGTAAATACGCTAAAAGACCCGTTTATCGACCGCATGACTTTAGACAAAACACAAAGTGAAAAAAAAAACAGAAAAATTAAACGTGATGCTGTCAAACGACGTAAAAATTGGACGGCTGAACGAAAAGGGCCATACCGAAAGCTTGGAAGGCGCTCGGGGGTACTGAGTAATGGCTAAAGGGGGGGGGGGGGGGGGGGGGGGGCAGAGCATCGCAGCGTGACGTAACGTGCAAGGTATGTATATGAACTCTCTTTATAATACTGCTGCTACTGCATCTAACAATCATATACCATTGTTCAAAGCTGCAAAGCATGTTCAGTTACGAGTTTCAGGTTTTGTGTAGTTTTAATTTTTCCATCGAGAATTGCAGAACCTTTTCTGAAATAATTGACTCCTGTCCATAGATCTGTTACTTCCATCCAGGAAATAAATGTTGGTGAAGACCCTTAAACTTACGGTTTAAAGCTTGAAGTTTTCTGGGAGTTAGAGCTTTTTTGGGGGCTGCTCCCTGGACTCGGCGGCAGGCAATGCCTGTCATACTGCGGCCGACCAGTTCATTTTTTCCCCAAAAGGTTCGCAAGCCGTCTTTACAAAACTCGGAGTCGCTGCTGGATCCCATGAGCCATTTATACTTTTCTGCAGGCAAGGTGATGCCACCCCCAAGCTGAACCTATGAGAACAAATTATAAGCATAATAGGAAATGGTAAGCACTACGCAATACTTGTCACCTTAGCCTGAAACGATTACAAAAAGAGGGCTGTATCTATGTTTGGTTACCGACTATCTGGGAAACTTGCTTACTTTCTGCACAAAGTGGAGGCTGCATGTTATATTAATTAAAGTGAAATTGTCTGCACAAACATCTGTCTGAAAGACTCCAGAACTCTTTCCTTACCACGCCCGTACAGCATCAATCACTAATGACTGACAAATAAGGAGACCGATTTTCAAGCTTCAGCGGAGCTTCCCGGGCACGTTGTGCAACCGGTAGGCAGTTTGAAGATTCTAGATTCCGTTTCTATTTTGGTTGTTTGTCTTGCAGCGGGGCAGCAATTTTTAACCCCATCCAGAGTGTGCGGCTGTGGACGTCAATGACAGCCAGGGCCGCGCGCTCGCCAGCATGGCAGCTCTCGCAACTCTGTTGCATCTTCCATCAATTCCTAGGACTGAGATAGCAGCAGAGCATCCAATCATGATGACAGATCATTAGATTTGAATTGTGAGAGTTGCAATCGGCAAAAGCTGCCGGGAACATCAGTGGCAGTTCGGTGGCAGGTTTCGTGTTCCAAGTGCCCGTTAATTTATTAGTTTTTGCAGACTCTGAACTGAAAGAAGTTGTAAGAAAACAAAGTAGAGGACAGAACAAATATTTTTCACAAAGCTCGTCCTGCGCATTTCTTTACCACATTGGAAAACTCCTGCTCCCAATGGCATGTAAATCATGGGGGTTGATTGACTTTTTTATAGGTCAAAATCTTTTTGATCTAGAACTCTAGTTTTTGCAGATGTTGTGTTGTTGAGATAGGAAACGTTTTGTATATTTCAATCTTTTTGTGTTTTTTTTTCTTTTCAAGGTATAGACATATCTTCAACTGGTTCTGTTCTCATTTTTATTGTACTTTTGTGTTTTACAAGTTAAATTTTACATTTTAAATTAGGTCTTATTTTGAAGCTTAGACCACTCAAAAGTACATTGATTTAGCTTCATTTCAATATATGACATCATAATGTAAAGCTTATAGTTTTCTCATAATAAAATAGTTACTAAATGCCTAAAAAACAGGCACTTCTTCCGTGGCAAGGAAAGAGTTCAGAAGACATGTAGGAGCGACGCCTACATGGGACTTTCTTGCCTACCTGGCCATCGACGACGTTGAACTCAATGTCCGAGTCATACTCATAGGAAGGCTGAAGATGGTGAGCCTGCGCAACAGCGGGTGGGGGGTTCTCTTGGGGAACCTGCACAGCAGCATCTGGTAGGTCTTCTTCGGAATCCTCCGCAGCAGCATCTGGTAGGTTTTCTTCGGGATCCTCCACAGCAGCATCTAGTAGGATTTCTGCAAGATCATGCGAGGCGGCAGTTGCAGCTGGTTGTTTCTCTCCAGAAGCTTGTGCTGCATGGAGTGCCAAGCCATAGAAGGATCAGCACTGCCCAAAATTAGGCCCTTGGAAAGCTTGAAAATACTTGGAGCATAATCTCAAAGAGGATCTGGAGTGTCAGACAGACTGCTTGTGAAAGCATGAAAAGCATGAGGACAGAATGGCTTAGTACCCTGTGAAGTGGCTTGTTCCAGAGTAACAAACTCTATGGCAGGGTCATTTTCAAATACACTGTTTACCCAGATATCTTGCATTGCAATTTTCTGAACCTGCAAAAAAAATAAAGCACAAGGTTAATGGTGGTTAAACTTTTAGATAATGAGATACTGTGCACATCCCATTACATTTTGATAGCCATTGAGGAACACTAAGAAGGAACTGTTTCACTCTTAATTGCCAAGTTCTCCCCCTGTTGGCCCATGTCACTTTTTCTGTGCAATTCATGAAATATAGTATTTAGAGTACAAGGGATCACTGATTTATGTTTCCACAGCTAATCAATTTCTGTTCGAGATAGACCACTGTTGTAAGGTATTCTCCTAGAACGACTAACCACTCAAAGCACAAGACAAAATGAGCTCGCATGGATTGTCCATAGCTGGCACTAGGGCCACTAATTATGCTACACTTTATAGAGTAGAGACACTAAGGTATGGTGGCTAAAGAGTTCCTAGTGAGGCGGATTAGTGGAACCCATTTTGTCCCCTACACTTCAGTGTAGAGACGGTTAGAGCACTATATATATAGCTCCTACGCAGCAGAGTAGCGCAATCTTTTGATCCGCCTGTTATGCCGACAACATGGCCGACAGAGCAGCTTGGCACGAGTCACGTGGTACTCAGGGTTCCAGGAGGCGGCTCGTTCTATGGGAGAACACATGGAGATCAACACAACACGGCTAATTAAAAAATAAACACAGAGTTCACACTTTTCGAAACTAGTCTGTCGTGAAGTTGGTAAAGCACTATAAACACTTTATCAAAGTTTTTATAATATTGGATGCATGTGAAAATTTTGAGAAGGCAATTTCCAAAACAAAGGCGTTTGAAGCAGACGATTTTTGTGCGCAGCGGAGAGGAACTTTCTGAGTTGGCCGGAGCAGGTCACGTGGACGGTGCGACGTCGTCGGCTCCATGATGCCGTTCAGGCAGTTTTTTTAAAAAAGTTACGTCCTTACATGGCACGCAACTTGGCACAAATTATTCTAATCTTCATTATAGCAAAAACTATTGACATTCTGTACATCCCCTCAATATTGAAGAAACAATGATTTTCTCACGTTCCCCATGCATTTCTTATCGGAGCTGGAACCCTTGGGCGTTCGTCGCTAATTGCCAAGAGATGGCGTTCTAGATTGCGCTACTCTGCTCAGTAGGAGCTATATAGTGCTCTAGCGACGGTATGGTGGCTAGAGAGTTAATAGGGAAGCGTGGGTAGCGGCGGCCATATGGTTCCTAGCAGCAAAGAGAAACGAGTGCCGATACTCTGAAGTGTAGCTTCTTTGGTGACTCTAGCTGGCACTACACATGAAACATTCACAGCCCAAGTTCAGCAGGTAGTGGCACTGTGGGGATTTGCAAGCATAATTGGACAGTCTAAGGTTCAAATATAAATAGGGTCCAACATTTACTGCTTAAAGCAATAAAAACTGGGAAAAATATACCAAGTTTTCCAACCTTACATGCCAAAAGTGTAATTCAGGAGTGGGGGAGAATGAATTAGTTATTGCATGTGACCCAGTATTCAGTGTATCTTTGCAACTCGTTGATGGAGGGCCCGGTCCATGTGTAACAGCTTTGTCCCCACCATGTACTGTAGAGGACATCTGGGAAAAACCTGGACCCCTCTCAAGCTCCCATGTGGGTAGATAAATGCAATTTATTTGTAACTGTTTCTGCCACCTGCTTCGATAGTCCTCAAAATGAGAAGGAAGGAAATGGGGCAGCGAGTTTGCCTTCTTCGCTGCAAATGACATCAAAATGTGATAGCATCACATGAATAAGCCGGCATATCCCTTAATCTCTGACGACACCAGAGAGAGTCTTGCAGAGCGAATACCGTGTAATTGATAGCACTGATAAGGCTACTTTTTTCCTTAACCATTACTGAGAGCACACAGTCAGGGTTCTTTGCTTTCGGGCTTTATATTTTTCGAGAATCGAGAAGGTAAAAATAGGGTCTATTTTTAAGGTTTTCCAAGAAATCATTTTAGTTTTCTGGTTTTTTCAGGTATTATTTATCAAGTGCAAATACGTGCAATGTCTTATTTACATGAACAAAAGTAAACAAAATATATCATAGTAACTTGGACAGGATTTTTACACTTTCTGCCGTATTCTGAAGTGAAGCTATGCCGAGATCATGCAAATCGAAGAAGTTTGTAACTATCAAAGAAGTGACAAGTGACCCTTGACACGATCCATAATGGTTCCTATTTTTTTTTTTTTTACGAAGTTTGTTGATTTTAAGATTGCTTTCCAAGAGAAATTAATCAAGACTGTTTTGGGGTAAACATCAAGTAATATTGTGTTCCACCCGAAAACAAAGAACATCTACATATAGAGAATGTGAAGAAATGAGGCGAGCCATATGGAATTACAACATAAAAGAAAATTATTGGTAAACAAAATAATATCTATTTTGCAAAGGCTATACTGCAACACACATAAGAGTGCACTGCAAATCTATAGCTAAACTTCAGAAAGTTTTACAACTCCATTTACTCGCTGGCCTCCACTCGCAGCAGAGTTCTTCCTCATGTTTGCAAAGTCCAGCAACAAAGAGCAATGGGCCTCCCCTGCCTCACTTGCTCAAGCCAACGCTTGAGATCAGCTATGTCCTCCTCACGCACTTTCTTTCTCTCCCAAAGCGTTTTTCTACCGTAGAGCGGCTGTACTTGCAATGCGCACATAATTACGCGAGACCGCCCCATTGGTGATTCATGGTGCATGCATAAGGTTGACGAAGGACACGTGCATGCACGAGCACGTTGCATCAAGGAGCATGCGAAGGACACGTGCATGCAGGAGCACGTTGCATCAAGGAGCAGCACCTTGTGTGGCACATGCGCCACACAAGGTGCTGTCTTCAGCAGTATAAGGTCACCTCCCGTTGATGGTCCTCTCCAGCTGGCGTCTACGCGAAGAATTAATGCAATTATATCGACATACACGATTTATTTAGTAACAGATTAGTTCTACCGGAAAATACTGGGCAAGCGCCCACTCAAAATTTAGAGATAATCGCAAAAAAATGGGGGATGGGTCTGGTCAACAATTTTACATATCAATGTACTGTGCATATTTTCTCAGATCTTACAAATTTGCGAAAGGGCGCTTAAAGTGGAATGGGTGGATGCCCGGTATTCTACGGTAATATTGAAATATTTATATCAATACATAAAAACCAAAAATGCAAAACCTTAAATAACAATGAAATGATATTTAAAGGGGCACTAAAGACGTTTCTCAGATAGTCTATTCGTCGTTGTAAACCATTCTATGTGATCTAAGCATCCTAAAAATCCGGAAATTACAGCGATGAGGAATACGACCTATTTTCCTATTAATTGTGATCAAAAATGCGCAACACGGCTTTTTCCTGCGGTACATCTAAAAACACGAGGGCATAGCCAGTACACCCTAACAAAGCCGAACGGCGATGTCGCTTGTCAGCCAATCGCGAGCATGATGGTACCCCTGGTGGATTGATCAGAGTGGGAAGTGAACATGCATGTGGATTGAACGCAATGAGAAGCAGATTAACGGGCACATCACTCCCATGAAAAGGATGCGAGGAGAGAACATATTCCGCAACTATTTCTACAGTCACATGCTCAACAAGAGGTCTTGTCATCTGAAACTTTCAGTACACACTAGAAAGTCTAGAATTGTGCACGCCAAAGCTTTGCGCACGCAAAGAATAGTGTCATCGCCAATGTGCATGCGCCGAACGCTAACCACATTTTGTGCTTTGCGTGTGCTATTTTTCGGAAATTGCGTGCATACTCAAAAAGTCTGCGCTCCTCCAAGAGGATTCGTGATGAAAAGTGGACTAAAGCCAGGACGAGCACACTTAAAAAATGGCGACTCCCAGGACCATGGCTGCGGCCGCTCTGACGTCGTCGTAAGGAAAGAGTTCAGTGAAGGAAATGAAGGGCCCCAATCTGGCATTAAAAAGCAAACATTGACTAACTGTCGGACAAAGCGGACGTTTCGAAAGTGGGGAGAGGTGCAGCATGCACCCTCATCCAGTGTGAGTATTTAGCAGGTGGCACTGGTAATACCATGCACCACACATAACAGCACTTCAGCTCATATTAGCCACGATGGTAGTTCGCAAGGTACAGTGGTCAGCGAACTTATTTTGAATGTGTGAATTGTGGCTTATCTCGTGAAAGTGCTCTCCTGGCGGAAGCTGAAAAAAAAAAAAACAGCCCCATGACGTTGTGGGAAACCAGAACACATTCAGGGGAGGCCACTCGTTCAAGGCCGAGAGGGTGATGTTGCAGCAGCGTCTGAGGAATACAGCATCGGCAAACACAAAAAATTGCAGGCGACATCGAGAAATAGCACTGTGACAAACATATATGCCTGGCCGAAAAAATTGCTCCGCTGTCGCCAGTCCATTGATTTCGACATTGAGTGACCGGCCTCCCCTGCTTGGGTTGTTGCATTGCCTGCCACGTCATGGAGTCGTTCTCAGCTGCTGCCAGGATTGCACCCCCCAATATAAGCCACGGTTCGCACATTCCTTACAAATGTTTTCACCACTGTACCATTGGTAAACCTTAAAAAAAAAGACAACCAACATTTCATTAAAAAGTACAGAAAAGTTTCTTAAAAATTGACTGTTCCCATTTTAAAGTTCTTGAAAAAAGATTTTTTTTTAAAGATCTGGACTTGTGTTAAACCGACTGCAGCTGCACCCATGTGGGATTCCTACCTTGCCATCCAAGCTCTCAAAAACAATTCCGGGAGAAGTTGCAGCTGCTCCAAAATGGCAGCTTTGCTGCTTGGACGTGCTTGGCTGACTGGTGTCTACCTCAGCAAGGAAGGTAGCCCTCCGAGGTTTGGGTTCCGCGGCCGATGCTGATGAAGACGCATACTGCGCACGCCCTGCGCACAGTACTATTAATTTACTCCAAATAAGAGGTCCTTTAATAGAAATTGCCATACTTTCTGAAAAAAAAAATTTAAGCACTAGATGGCTGTCTTCGGAAGCACGAGTGCTAAAGGGAAGCCTCACCAAAACATTCGTGATTACAAATTTTAGTGGCATTAGCATCAGTTATTAAAGGTGCACTAGCGAGGTTTCTGATATAATCTGTTCTTGGTGATAACTCCTTCTACATGCTCTCATCATCCTAAAAATCTAAAAGATACATTCATGCAACACTTATTTCCCTGTCCAAAAAAATAAAAATCTGATTTAAGATCAGGACACAACCCTTCCTGCGCAAAACTTTCTGGTGAAGAAGGGAGGTGCATAATCCAGCCGAGGTGACGGCAGGGGGTGAGAAGGGTTCGTCAGAGCCACTGTATATGGCAGCTTTAGCTGGCAGAAAAACGACACTAGGCCAAAAGTGCTACACGCATAACGCTTGAAGCACCAGAGGGGATATCCATTTTGGTCCTGCGAGGTCGCCATGGTAACCGGGTTTCTAGCACTTCTAGTGACCGTTTCGTTCCTCTATTGGTTTAAACATCCCAATTTAAGTTTAGAATTCGGACGAGTGTTTTGAATGTAAGCACAGAATATTTTATTTACGCAGAGAAAAAAAGCTCTAGGATAAAGTCAACCGTAAACCTCCTGGCTCGTAAAGGCCCTCCCACTTGATTATTGTCAAAGAGCAGTAGCAGACAGTGTCAGAATCCTGTCCCAGCAACAGCGTACGGCAATCGTCGGAGCAGCCGTTTGCTATGGAACAAGAGTCAGCAGGGTCGACTCCATGGTAACGTACTGGCGGGAGGTGGTTCTAGTGCTTATCAGCTAGTTGCAAGCCTCCTTTTGATTGTCCGACGAGCACCTCTCATCACCCAGCTCAGCTGTCGCCTCGGCTGGATTAGGTGCCACCGTTCTTCAGCGGAAAGTACCGCTCAAAAAGGAATATGTCGGAATTTTAAATCTCATTTTTGACAAAAAAATAAGCGTAACATGAGCATAATTTTTCAATTTTTAGGACGTCTTGGGCCAATAGAAGTTATCACAGAGAACAGGTGATCCCAGAAGCTTCTTTAGTGCATGTTAATACTGCGGATCGGGCGAGTTGGTAATGCCTGTTTGACATACCAGCACACATATCCTTAAAAAATCAATTTATTGGATCGCAAAAAAGAAAAAGGGTAACAATATATTCAAAGTTGCTAGTCCGCGATGCGTGAGGGTTCTTTTTTTGGTGTGCTTGGATTTTTGAGGGTATGTGTGCCGGTACGTCAAACGTGCTTTAGCACACTTTTAAGTTGTCTCTCCAGAGAATATGTATAAATAACTTACCAAAATATGTAGCCTCTAGGGAGAAAACAAATTTTGAAATTGATGCGCTCACTTCACCATGACCGGAGGCTGCTCTACTGGCAAAAAGGGGGGGTTGCGAGTGACATACCATTTTAAGTTTCAGAAGCTTCTGCACAGTGTTCGGCAGTTTGATACTCTAGACCCATGTTACGGATAAAAAAAAACAGGACGCGGGAAGGCCAAAAAACATGCTTTTCGAGCAAGGCTCGTCAAATTATGAGGTGCTGGAGAAATGCAGCATTCTTCCTTCAGTCCTTATTTCGACCTCTTTTTGTTCGCCTTCCGCCCATTGAAAAGCATGCGGGAAGGGACTTAGAACGCACCTGCTATCGCTGCGCTGCAGCGTTCTTCCGCAATATAAAGTTTGTCTGCTTTCCTCGCCGTCACCATGGCAACGAATGCCGAATGAATAGAAGCACTCACGGTACTACCGCGTGAAGCCAGCAACAGCTGACGCCATTTGACGAACGCCATCTGCTAGCCAAAGCCGAACGCGGTTTGTCAGATCAACCGCCTCCGCCGGTGCGCCATGTTTTTTTGGCCATCCCGCGTCCTGTTTTTTTTATCCGTAACATGGGTCTCAAGTGTCAAACTGCCCAGCATTCTACCTGCCTTTTCTCAGGGCCAATGGCGGCTGGCATGGGCGAGCTGCGAGTCTTCTAAAGTTTCATCCTTGAAGACTCGTAACAACTCTGAATCACATCTTCCCCTTTCTCGACCAGAGCAATTTTTGTCAACACTGCCATACTTTTAGCAGCAGGCGTGCTGACTGCACGATAGCTACCCAAGTACATGATATGTGGCGTCGCAGCCAAGGCTATGCAAAATAGTTGCGAAATGATTTTGGTTTCGATCTGAACACCAATTTTTGAATAAAAAGTTCTAGAATTATTTTTTACAACCTTAAATTGTGTCACATTCATAAAATATATTGTGCTGAAATTGTCCATGCTGATGACGGAGCTGCCCTTTAAGGCCAGGCTTTGGTCTTTCGATATGCTAGGTCTTGTAGGGCTAATAACTAAAGACAATACTACCAGGCAGGCGAGCTGGTTGTTATACAACATTCTACAACCCGAGACAGAGGCTACAAGATGAGACAAACACAAATGTCTCAATAGACCCTTTGCAAAAATCCCGAAAGCCCGCGTGCACAACGAATAATGGGAGTACTTGGTACGGGGCTCCCATCGTCTTTCCTCCTGCTACTATGTGGCGTACGCGAGCAGGCGCAGATTACCATAGCAACAACGTTCGAGCACCTCAGAGTCGAGTAGCCGAGAGTCAGATCTTCGGATGAGCGCGTGGGGGAGAGGGTCTCCCCCTTTTTTCAGCCCTCTCCTTTGTACCGCACCGCCTTTGTCATCTGCTGAGCCAATGCTTTGTCGAACCTAGTCGAACCCTGCCACGGTCGTGGTGCAATTTAAGTTGATTCTGTGACACTGCAAGATGTGAAAGAAGTTAAACCAAAAACGTATTCAAATCATCTTTCGCAATGCTTTTACGCTGCCACAGATACTGTACGCCGCCAACGAGGTACGACTTTCCGGCGGACGGGCGGAATGGCGGATGGCTGCTGGCAATAGCTGCCGCGACGTGCGCAATCGTGGAAGCGCAACGAGAAAGCGCATGTTCTGTACCGAGGGTTTGCGAAATTCCCTGCCGTCCTGGCGCTGGAAATTTTGCAACAGGTCTATTGGGATGTTTGTGCTTTCCCCTTTTTGTAACCTCAGTACCAGGTTGTAGAATGTCGTAGTTAATGAGTAATACATATATTTTATCAAGCTTATCATTACCTCCAGGAAAAATTGTCTCATTAAAAGATCCTACTTTCTTTTAATGTTGAAAGACATGACAGGTCAGTTTGCCAGTTACTTTTATAAGAAACATGAAAGTAACCAACAAACTGACCTGGAATGTTTCTGAAAATGTAAGGCAGCTTCATAATTGCGGATTTGTTTTTGCGTCTCGGACTTAACTACTTGGCTTTTCCAATGCTTGCATAATTGCTTGGGAATAAGATTTACTAAGGTACCCCCACCTGTTTCGCTTTTGAAATTGCAGTGAAAACTCGCCTTTAAGGAGTGCATCTGTCAGACTTCTGGAGAGCTGACGCTCCCAAAGAAGCTCGTCCTCAAGGAAGTCAATCTTTTTCTGCATCTTTGCTACGACTCTCTGGTGCCTTATCTCCTTGCCTTCCTCCTCTCTTTTCTTCTCATCTAACATGTCTTTCATCTGGGCCCTGTGAGCTGCTGCGTGCATAGTGTGCTTTTCTTTGGAAGTTGATGCCTCATCCACCTGAAAAGCATAGGGATATGGAAACTAGTATTGCTACTACCATCATAAACCTTGGCCGAGCACAGGTCTATAAACCAGCATTATGATGAACCAACAGCACAGCTGTTGTTTTATCATAACGCTCAAATCACGTTTAAGGATGTCACTTGATTAGAACTTTACTGCCCCTTTGGGCTAGATGCCAATGGGCTTCAAAAATCCACGTGGACTTGCAAGAACTGCCTTGCAGAAAACTTAGTTCGATGAAGTTCTCCACAAGTCAGTAGCAATGAAATTAGAGTCAAACATCTATAAATACAGAGGTAAGCCCTCTACCTCGCTAGAAAAAGCACCAAAATGACATAAAAGAAGGTAAGACTGATACAATATGGACGGGCACTACCTCTTAACTTTTGGTGAATTTCAAAGTTTTGTCAGCTTTGTAGCATCCAAAAAAGATGCACTACAGTACTATATAGTAGCAGTGATTACGAGGGAGGACAATACCTCTATAGGCTCTTCTGGTGGATCAATAATTCGTGGTATAGCCCGTTTCTTCTTGATCAATTGGTCCAGAAGAGCAGCCTTGCTTTCTAAATCAACAAACACAAAACAAGAAACATAACATTAGACCTGTTCAACGCTTACCAATAGACGAGTTGCGAATTTCCCAAGCTTCCTCAAGCCTATGGCGAGTGTAGTTACATGCATGCACACACGTAGGAAAGATTTGAAGTAAATAACAAAAAGAAGGGGACGACAAAAGCACGTGCAACATTATATTTGATCTAGATCTTTTCTTTGGAAAAATACTGCTGCTGACACCAGCACGTGCTGCGCATGCACCTACAATCCCTCCATCCACCTTGATGCTTGGGTAATTTCGCACAGAATCTATTGGCATCAATAACCTAACCAGAATTAGTTCTTAAAGGGGTAAGAAAACGAAATATTACTATTTTCTTTGCTCTTGTACGAACTATGTTACAACAACACCCCATAAACATCAATCTTTTGCTTTTAAACACCAGAAAACTAATCTAATCTTAAAACAATTGTGTGATTGCATTTAACAAAAATCGCCCGTACCTTCGTTGTAATATAGTTTTATGACATCCTTCTCCCATCTAAGCTGTTTTAAAAAAATGTTTTTTCCTCTGCATGTGTCCTGTAACACAATAATTGAAATTTCATCTAATGCTTGGCAGAGAGCCCGAGAGACGGTGACACAGTGCTCCCTCCCCTTACCCCCTTACTATCCTGTTGGCAATCGCTCAGCAGTGTTGCCAGATTAGGTTATTATAGCCAAATTGGGCTACACTTTATTGTAGTTTGCATCAAAATTAAGTTCTGGCTATTTGGCTACATTTGAGCTATTTCCAATTCTTGTTAAAGGGACTGTGCAACAAGTTTAGGTTATAATATTACGTAATTTGAGCAAGAATACTCGCTCAAGCGTGACATAAGTGTGCTCATATGTGACGCACTGACCTACAAGTTTCGTTGTTGTAATGTAATCTCAAAAATAAAAGCGATATATTTCTGCTCTTCTCACCTTCGCAGATCTCGAAGGCTATATAAGCTCCAACTAGCCCGTACTCCCTGCTTTGAAGCGTGTCTTTGTAGAGCAAGTGCTCGCTCCAGAGAAGCCTGCTTTAAAGCCATAACCACATGCCTGTAGCTTTTACAGCCCTGTGACATAACCACATGCCTGTAGCTTTTACTGCCCATAACCACAACACCGCCCGGGCAGAGCACGTGACCTCTACATTGCCAACCCTAGCGCGTGCCTGAAGACCACTGGTGACATTTAAAGGGGCGCTGCAATCATATTTAAGCGTCTACCTTTTTTGCGGTTTCCACGTCTCTTGGGGTTCGGGCAAGCCAGCGGGCACGGAGAGAGTAACCAAATATCACTGCGTCATATTTTAACCGGACGCGGAAACCTCCTCCACCAACGAGGGCGACCCGTGGTACCGAAAGCGCGCAAAATGCGACGTCTTTGGTCCTGGGCTTACTACTGGTCAGAGCCGCTAAAAGCTTCTTCTTAGTCGAAATACAAAATATCAGTGGCGCGAACCGTTTCAATTATTTATAAAAGTAGTTTTTGTTCAGCATTTTAAATCAGAAAAGAAACAAATGCAGTTTACAAAGTACGGAAACAAGAAATGACCTGTCGACATACCCGCCACCAAGCGGCGGAAAAGGCAGCGCATACTAGAAAGTAGCAGTGGGATCAGGCGCTGACACGGAAAGGTCCCGCATGTACGCGGCGGCGCTGCGGTCATATAGACAGGAGGATCCGACCGGCTCCGAGCGTTTTGAAGGCCTTCGGCGAGCAGCTTTGTCTTGCGGTTTGGCTGTTTCGCAGTATGGCAGTGCGAAGTGGCTCCCATTCTGAACTGATCTTCACCCCGTGTTTGCTGTCGTTTGCGGCCAATGAAGTCTCATGCCGAATTAGTGTTTGATTGCGCAGCGAATGCAATGAGAGCCACTCTGGCTGCCCGCTACATACAACCTATCCAAAACATGCTTTAGTGGCGCCCTCTCACGCCGTCGACACCAAGTGCGGCAGCTGTGAGCGCTTGCTGAGCTCACTACCCATCCTCTAGTTCACAGCCACCTAAGCAACCAAGGACGTCATGAGGAAGGTAATTGTTTTGCTTGTTTTTCTAATTTTAATTTGCCTATAACTTTTGAAATAAAGTGAATTTCGAGGAAAAAAAAAAAGTTTCACTAAGTTACATTATGAGCGTCAAGGATGCTTTCTTTACAGTATTTAGCGAAAGTGAGAAAATCTTTGCAAAGCCCAGCCCTAGCCCTTCACCCCCCCCCCCCCCCAAAGTAATGGCAACATATGTCTCCAGAATCAGTTTCAATAGGAAAAAATCTCTGAAACATTCATGCCAAAGTTCCTAAAAACCAAGAATGCTAGAAATCTTTACTAAGAGCACAGCACTTTTTCTAATGCGAAACTTGCTAGTCTAACGTCAAAAGATGGTCCGATAAGAAAGAAAAAAGCGCCAGGACGTATGGTGAAAATGGCTCGTAGGTCGACCACGGCCAAAACCGCCAAAGCAGACGCATCCTTTTTTTTTTTAATTGACCTGAAGAGTTTGAAAAGAGGGCGGGAAGGGGTGTAAACGCCGGCACTTTTTTTTAGTAGTTACATGTGATAGTTCTTCCCCCTTCCTCTTTTCCTGAACTGACGATTTTGAAACGCTCGCCAAATGTGACCCACAAGCCGAAAAATCCAGCCATCCAATCAAAATATAAGTGTGATTACTATTTACAGAGACTATGAAGCATAGTTAAGCTATTTCAAAAGGTTTCGCGCATTTTTTTTAATTTTCGTTTTCATACCCCAATAAAACAGCAAAGTACAGAGCAAAAAACACACACAGAATATATATATATTATACACACTCCTCTAGTAAGGCTGGCTTACATCTAACAAACAAGTACAGCTAGGTAAACAAGAAAAAAAAATGTTTTTTCAGCCAGGACGATTGGACTTTGTTTTCAGGGGACCCCCGAGGGCATTTAAGCGAGAGACACAGGACGGCAGAATCGTCCATTCGACGTCCGGCGTGACTGTCCGAAAGCCACTCCTTCGAACGGGAAGCGTAATTATGGCAAGGAAATCGCAAATAAGGTCTCGGAAAGACACGTTCTGGGATCTCCCGCCGTAAAACGCAACCGCGTGATATTTCTCAAAAATCGTATGCGATTACTTCGTTCGTCCGATTGTCGGGCAGTTTCATCGCAAAAACTACGTTTCAGCGAACGAAAACTAAACTACGACGTGTCATCGAATGGCACTTCAGAGAACGGCGGCCTCGCTTTCAGATTTCATCCACAAGGCGGGCTTGACCGCCTATCTATCTACAAGCATCCAAAACCGCCTTCCACGGCCGTAGACCCAAACCCGTAAGGTAGCGATCCGAAATGTCCATCAAAAGTAACACTAAAGAGCGAAATCACCAGTTTTCACGCATTTAGTTTCGCTTACAGATACGAGTTTCGTTTCGTCGCTCGACCACGCTCTTCGCTGAAAGAAGTCAAATTGGGTAAATCGACAGAAAAACTAGTTACCTACTAGTTACTACCAAGTTTTACAGACGTAACCTAATATAACTTACCTGCTAGCTCCTTTACTCGAGCATCGTAGTAGTTCTCGATGAGGCCATCCTCAGATTGCCAGAAAGTTGGCCTGATCGTCTTGTCTATGTCCTTAACACTTGTAGGGTTAAAGTTTTTGATTAACCGAACTGGCACAATAGCTCTCACGCCGTCCAGCAGATATTCCACTAGCGCGTAGTACATGACTTGCAAAACCAAATCGAACAAAAAAAAAAAAAAATTGGGGACGACTGAGGATCGAACACCACGACGATACACTAGGACGAGGACCCGAACCACGCAGTCACGCAGTCGCGTAATTGGCGCAGTGGTGGAGTTAGGAGTTGGCGTAACGAACCCTCAAAACCAGGGACCCCGGTCCCTGGGTCCCAAACAGAGTTCTGACCCGGGCGGCATAAAAAAATCACACGTCGATCAACATATAGTTTTATTTCGTTTTAACGAATTTCAGTCTTCTTATGAACTAGATACACCTTAACTGGAAGTATTTTGTTACCTAGAAATCGATTAACGGAAAAGCTTCCGAGTGTCTCAGATGGACTCAGAGATGGTTTCGGTTTCGGTTTCGGCGCGGTAACGCGTCGGAATTAAAAATTTGAGAGTAGATACCGGACACTAATATTACATTCCATCAAACCATTGATGTTTTATTAAACGCGGCCTCCGCAATCGCAGCGGCAGCTTACTAGCTACGGCCCTAATGCTTCTGACCTTCTAGGCGGCTCGGAGCGAAGCTCGGTCGGCTCAGTGCTCGGACACTCTCCTCCTCTCTCTCTCTTCGGTGTTCTGCACTTCGGGCTTCGGTGTTCCGTATCGCCGTGTTCGGTATCTGAGACACTCGCGTACCTAATTTCCTGTCTGCCGCCAATGCCGCAGAGAATTGCCGTAATTAAGTAAACAAACCCTGTTCGTTGGCTGAGCCCGCTGTTGGCGTCGAACTCTCCCCGAAGTGGCTACGAAAAACGCACGTGCAGCGAAATCGGAAGTCTAAACCATGTCTTCTGAAGGTAAAAGGCAGCGTAAAGCTTATCTGCACAGTGATGAGCCGTTCGAAGTGCCGTACGCTACGAAACACCGACGATCTACTCGCTCTTGTGATGATGACAAGGCACAACCGGCCTGCTCGCGCGCCAGCGAACCTGCACCGCCTGCACCTCCGTCAGGGAGTCAAGGGAGCTGCGAAGCCGTCCACGTGGATCGTGAAGAAGCAGAAGCTACCGTCGATACCAGTAGCGATTGCGACACAGAAATATTTTCTCAAAACGAAAATGAAGCAGATGACTTCGAGCAATCCTCTGCAACGCAAGGCGAAACTGGAAGCGAAGCTAACTCCGCAGATGAGATCGACGACGGTGAGCCCCTCCCCGATTCTTGCGCGGACACGGCGTATGATGAGGCCAGACTGCTTGCGGACAGCTTTGAGCAGTTCGGAAACGAGACGTTGCCAAAT